CCTAAGAGCTACGCCGTCAGAACGCAATTCACTCCGACATCAATGAAACGCGTCGGGCGCGCACGCTACCACCGCCCGTGGGTACACCACGCGTCCCAACCCAAACTATGCTCTATATCTAATATTTATACATCTTACATACAAATATTGTGTTTAGCCAGCGTTTAGTGACACTTCGTATCAGTAAAACTTTAGACATTACACTTAATTTGTGAAAATTACCTGCTCATTTGTTACCCAGTTAACACTTTGCAGAATATGAGGACTTTTTACAATTTCACTTTAAAATCTATGTCAGAAATAACATTTTATTAGTTAAATAAAACGTTAATGTGATTCTATGCGTGGAACTGTTTACGTTAAATCTCTTTTAGAATTGAACTGCATGTTAAAGTAGGCCAGTCTTAAAGCTGCTAGCTCGAGTTACGCTGCACATTGCTACCCGCTAGATATTGTGCAAATATTTCATTTTAATGCGCACATTGTTTAATATAAAAGCGCCGATAAATCATTTTAATACCACCTGCTTGTGTTTTACTGGTGCACGCCTTACAGACAATACTTATGTTCTACTTCTCAGATGAAGATTAACGTTAACCTCGTCCTACTGCTTGTAGTTCATAAATGAGAGTTAACGATAATATTGTAATAAAGTGTTAAAAACAATTTATTTCCATATTTCTGTTTACCAGTACTGGGAGCACTTGACTCGCACTGAACAATCGTTACTAGTTTACCATCATCGTTGGAGCTCGTAGGGCTCACTCTGAGAAGGTCGTAACTCATAGTTGTTGGCACGATTTAACTATAAAACCGAAATGGTACATCAATAAAGACACCATACTAAAATCCATTTCTAATCTTTCCGGTGGCTGCTGCATTTAGCCGTTTGAAAATAGCAACGAACGGCGCGCCCGCGCATACGAATACTGTAACAAACTGTTTACACTTACAGAAATAGACTCGGTTCGCTTCTGAATGTGGAACGGGTGAACACTTGGCTTTTATGGACAGCTATTTTTGGTGGAGCCGACTGTCCAGGAGCTACGAACATACGACGAGGCACGATGGAGGAGTCACTCCGTACAACCGTACTACGCAACTGCATGTCGCGAGGAATTTCTCTATGGAGATGTTAAGATTATTGGCAGTCAGAGAGAGAGAAACTTACCTTATATATTCCTCTTGCGGTTACGTATGTACCTATGTCATCAACAAACGTTAACTTTAATCTGTTCGCTTATGTAATTAGTTAGCTGAAGCACAGCACATCATAAATCAGGTTTAAAATCCGCAACAAGTTGGTCACGTGTACTCACTCATCAACACTAAATGCTTTAACCTCTATCGGTAGTGGAATCGTTCTTCTCGCTGTATTATCGTTCCTCACAAGAATCATCGTATCCGCGAGGTCACGTGTACGCGAAATTATAAAAATATTATATTTATACAAGGCAATCACGTGGCTTCACCACACAAATCTGTTGTTAACAAAAACAAAATTAAGAAACACACACCAGTCTGCTTATTTCTTAAACTAAAACTAACCGAGCTCAGCGGACTGTTGCTAACAGTCATCTTGTTATACTTACTATATTAATATTGTAGTGGACTGGTTTGATATACCGCAGATACATAGCATACAAACAAACAAACAAGCTTCAAATTTTCCCACTTTTAGTGCTTATTGAAGAATAGGTATGGAACGTTATATTATCCACAGTAAATTAGCATTTCAGAAAGCAGTTTCAGAATCTCTTCGTAAAATTGTTAGACATTACTTGTTTATTTTACTGGTTAAACGAGCTTCCAAGAGATATTGATATATAACACTAAGTTTGAACAAAATACAAAATAATTGCTCACATTCGGAACAAATCCACAAACTTCAAACAAACCGCTCAGGTGGATACAGACTAAATAAATATTTGGAACCACTTGAATTTGTTAATAAATGTAAACCGGCCGTAAAATGTAAATTATTGAATAAACTAATGTTACTTTTCAAAAAAGTTGTAATCAGTAGAAATCTTATCCCTCCCATTGAAAAACAAATCAAAGTATGTTAAGTGCTTAGTGTTTGAAAACAATTAGTAGTAGGCAGTAGTGGAAGTTCCGTGTTGTGGTTGTGATGTGTTGCAGACAGAGTCGCGTGGCGCGCTACTAGCTACTGGTGCCACTAGTGCTCTAAGTGCGACTACACAAACAGATATCCGCGAATTTATAAAATAATTTGAGTGTGTCACGTTTCGTAGCTCGCGTGTATGTTCTATTTTTAAAACTCAATAATTTAGCTGTGTATTGTGCTTCTTCTCGTTTTCTCAGCTATTGTGGTGAATGCGTGCGAGGGAGATGGACGTAGAGAGGCGCGGGCGGGGCGCGTCCTTCACTTGTCGCGCGGCGCGTTGCCGGGTGTTCTAAATATAAAAAGTGGGGGGTGCGGTGCGCGGGCGGCGGCCGACCGGCTTTGTTGATCCAGCTTTGTTATACTGCTGCCATTATAATACTCAGTTTTTCTAAATGACTTACACAGGCTTGGCCAAGGTCTGGTCAAAGTCGCGAGCCGAGCGATCCGCCCACAAGCCGGATACGAAGTCTTCTCGGCATTCCAAAGATCAAAACATTTAATGTGCACATGTTAATATGGAGCCTTATTTCAAGTAAACCAAAGAAAAATACAATACAAAAAATAAACGCATCATTAAAAGTATTTAGATTTGAAAGGCGCGCGTCCAGTTGAACAACCTCACTGTATTTGTGGACGACGGGGACACTCGCTACTTTATTTTTCGTGACGAGCAAAACATTTCCATGTAATATATAATTATGAATTTTGAGAATTTCTTTGTCATAACAACCCTTGCAGGGAAGTTGGTGTTATATTTATACTTCGCTGTAATTGAGGAAAGAGTGCGTAATTGAATTAAAGGCAGTGAAGAATCCTTACGGTTGGCTGACTCTCAAGTTACAGACTGTTTATTATTGATACTTGACGATATAAATATAGCTGGGTACACACTCGCACGCGTTTCTAACCTTACCTCCCGACCCTGAACCTCATTTCAATATTATTTCATTGTAATATGTAAATATTTCAATTCGCAATTCATGTTGTTTGTTTCTACTGAAAGGAGTAATAGTTAGTATTATTTATATAATCAAATTCTGACTTAAAAAACATATTATGTGATACAAGAAATGTAAAATTATCGAGTTAAAAATTGTACGGGCTACGCGGGAGCGGTTCGTAGCCGCGTGCGTAGCGTAAGAATGTGCTACGACCGTAGCACGTCCTGCTCCGTAGTACGCTACATCTCCCGTAGAAGTAGATTGTATCTATTCGTAGCGCGCTACGAAATGTTTGGAGCACTGCTACGTATTGCTCTGCGCCATTTCGTAGATGTGATTTGAAAGGACAGAAATAATTAAAAGTAGTACTAAGTTTTATGTAATCAGCTAAAATTATTCTCATATTCAGATTTATTTATTCAGCATTTTCTCGTGGGCTGCTACCCAGGAGACTATTTTCAAACTCATTTAAAATCGGCCTCGGTCCAAAATAAACCAATCACCGATATCGCATTTGTTCTACTTAGCCACTAATACTTGTCCATGTCTTCGGATCACGTCTGAAACTGGAACGGAGTGAATAATTAAAACAGCTCAGATCAGGTCACTCGCAGTTTAAATTGGATATCTCATTTAACATGAATAGATTTTTTTCTAAACTGCATACGGCATACTGTACTTTTTATTCTAGTTCTAGAGAGACTGAATGTTACCTTTCATAGTAACAAGCGGAATCTATCTTTGTATATTTTATATAGGTATATATTTGGGGCATATATCTTGCGAACTGACCTTAACCAAAGTATTTACAGTGGCCGGCAGTTTGATGTAAGCCACATTACTGCGGTCCCTGTATCTTGTACCCCGAATCACATGCGCGTCGTCAAGGCAGGCTAAATATAAGTTCTAACCTTTCACGCCCATCTTCACTGAGCTATTAATTAATGCTGTCGTGACCTCCAGCTCGGACCCCGAGTCCTCGGGTCCCGGCCGGGCAGCTGTTCTAAATATAGCCACAGCCAAAAATAACTGTCGCACCTCCCTCGCGAGCACTCCCCACCACCCGTCCTTCGGGGACGCCCGCAGGCTTCGCCGCAATCCCCCAACGACCTACATTGGAACGGGTGAAGCAGGTCGCATCGGGACTCGCAAACATCGCTCCCTGCATACTGCAACACGTACACAGTACATTGGAAGTACGAGACAATGTGATTAGTACAGGACTACAGGTATATACATACGTGCTCGTAGTACCAAGAACAATTAATCTAATAAAAAGTTGTGGTTTGTTGGAGTTAGTTGAACTGACCTGTAATAAATAAAAGCCTTTTGGTGGTGCCTGAGGAACTCAGTAACAACTAAAATGAGGAGGGAAAATAAATAGAGAGTGCCCTCGAGGTGCGCCCCACTTAGCGCCCCCCTTTGCAAACAGCCTGTAAGTGGTGGAGTACGCGTACACATCAGCACAGACGTAAACACTCGCGTTTTTCGAGAACACTACGCAAACAATTGAACTCTGTCGAGTTCAACACTAAAATATTTTACAACTGTATAACAAGTATTTATCGAGTAGTAACTAGGTAGGTCGCCTACCCCTTCCACCCAGCCTAGGTTATTTAGGTCACAGGCATAAGGTCGCGTACACACCGCGCACCGCTGCCTATGTGCTGTGTCTGCAATGTCGCTGCGGACATATGATCCAGTGTCCTTTAAACTGTCAAACACCAAGCGGTCACCGGTGACCGCAACCTATTGTTCTATAATTGTGTCTGCAAAACCGGTACTCGACGAGTTAATTGTAGGCTTTTGTTGCATTTTGTATTTAACGACCAATCTCGCAAGCCCTTGCAATTACTCTGGATGACATTCAGTCTGTTTGATGTCATTTTGTCGGTGTTGTATTAAAATATTTGTTTGTTTGCTTGTTGCAGCAGAGATGGCGCACGAGAGCGGTGGCGGCGCGGACGGGTCTCCGCAGCACACGCCGTCGCCGCCGCACGCGCCTCGCTTGCCCCTCGCTGACACCAGCTTTCACCAGCAGATCATGCAGGTTCGTATCTCCACCTCCTCCTCTTTGTTATCTATTTCCCATAATTCAATTATTTCTTTGTCTATAGCAAACTATGTACTTTCTGTTGTGCATGTCCTTTGTTTATTATTTCTCATTTATTTGTTCAATTCCTCTTTTTATTTGTATAATCCTGTTTTTTTTTGTGTTAAATATTTTATCGTATATTATTATTATTATTATTATTATTTTAGATTGTATTTATTTTGGGGATTTTTTTGGAATGGTTCATTGTTTCTACTCTGCATTCTGTTCGTTCTCCATTAGTCTTCTTCTTTGTTCGATGTTTTGTTATTTCAACCTCGCAGTCATTAATGTATCGTCCTAGTGTTATGTAGTGCACCCAAACTGTCTCTGTAGTATCGTCCGCCGTCGCCTTCCTCGTCACAAGTTTCAGTTACAGTGCCATGAGTCACTAGCGGAGGGTACAGACAAGCTGTTACACGCTCATTCTTTTGTTACGTAATGTAATGTTTGTAAACACATAATGATGCGAGTGGGCGGGAGGCCCGATTACATCTAACGCGTATTAGAGCTCCGTAATACTCAATAACATTCGTTCTATACTAATTGTGTATTTGTATTCTTCGACTACTTACCTTGTAATTACTCGGTTAAGATAACCAGCTCGACATTATCTTTGATTGTGATACGTTTCTATAAATAGAATACTTATTGAATAATTGAATAATGTATAGGTTCTTGTGAAGCGATGCCGTTTGCAGTTATCGTATTTGTAATGTTGATAAGCGGGTGAAATGTTAATTGAATTCAGCAGTCTCAGGGTGGAAGTAAAGACGCGATGAACAATATGATTACATAGAAGAACATTATAATCCCAGACAGCGGCGGAGTTATATATTTAGCTGACAAAAATAACAGATATACTGACAGATTTGTATTTCAGTTGATATATGTATCGATGATAGCTCTAAATATAACTTGTTTATTTCTTGTAGTGTCCCATGTTCCGTTGATATAACGAGGTACAAAAATACTCTTTCTACGAAATATATACATAGAAAGCGATGGGATGAGCCAAGCGTATGCATAGCGGGCGAGTAGGTAGCTTTCTATAAGATCAATCAGTTACAACGCAATACGGACTGACATCAAACAACTGTCCGCCCTTTGATAAAACGGAGAAATACTGGCAATTATACACAACGCGCTCGACATGAGCACCAACTAAGACTGTTCAAAGTAACTTATCAAATATCTTTTTTCGCATTTCACTTTTGCACCGGTTCACTTGCCAGTATAAAATAAACCCTCGTAGTCCCGTCGCAAAGAGGTCCTCTGTGTGGGTACCTGTGCGCTGTGTAGTAAAGCAAGTAGAAGCTTAATATTGTAAAACAGAGAGGCGTACAAAACTCGGTGGAGCAGATAACGAATGCAGGTGAAGGAGCGAAGCCCGCAGATTACCGTGACCTTTTCCCGAAATATAGCGAACGCTCGCCGCATACATATTATTTTTACGCGATATTTATACCGACACCGGCGCGCGCGCACTATTAATATCGCGTATACGTTCGCATGTGTGTATGTATGTGTCTGTGTATAGCGTCTGCATATATGTTATGATTATATGCGTATTATACGGATTAAATTTAGATATGAAATTATTCGCGGCCCCTTTTTGCGTACTTTTAAAATATTGGAAGTTTGTTGCAGTATCAACTTTGGTTGGTATTGGTTAAAATAGGTATAGTAACTGTCCGATATATTTGTGTTAAGATTACAGTTCTCTGCTGGTGCACTATCGAGCTATAGCTATTAAGATAAAACTCTATTAAATGTTGCTCTTATGCAAATCTGTGTGGCAAAATGGGAGCAAAAGCAGTTTGTGAATACAATTTACTGGCCGTTAGGATAATTTCAAAAAATATGTAGAGCATTTTGATGTTTATTGTAGCTAGGTGATCAGTTCATCAGAGATACCAGTATGTTGTCATGAAATGTTGCTTCGTACAGGGAATCAAGTGGTAAGTGTTGGAAGTCTAAGCATTTGTTTTTGGGTTTCGTCCATTCACATGTTTAAGACTGGGAAATCTGTTATAAATTCCTGACCATGTCCGAGTACCGTGTTATGTGGCGAAGACCCGCGCTCCCCTGAACCGCGACATTATTTCGGCCCCGCCCACGCGCCCGCGCAAAACATCCGTTCGCGCGATCTATTCATGGCACATTCCGACCACCCGCCATTTTTCCCCATCGAACAAAAATAATGCGCGCGTCGCCAGAAATACGCGCACGCGCGCCTCGGTCTGCTTTTTGATGTATTTTTTGTAAATCGTACGCTTCCGAGCTGTGGCGCAAGGTTGCATTGTCTGTTCAGCGGGATCCTGCACGTAGGGTGCTTTGGCTGTCAAGGGAATGTTCCATCTAATATTTGCTACGAACAATATATATTGCGGAAAAAAAATTCAAACTGCGGAGAACCAACACGTATTTATTATTGTCATACAATCCTACATTTTCAAGAAAATATTGAAATCATTAAGATAATTGACGCTGAAAATTGGCAGTGACGTGTTAGATCTCCGCGTTTGTTCCCCCGGTAGTACTAATAGTCCCTCCCCCGGTCGTGGTCGACTGTCCTACATATATTTCATCTCTCGTTGTCAGAATCAGAACCCAAGAAAGAACCATATTGCTGAGCGGGCGAAACAGACATTAGAGAGTAGTTTCCTGATGCAAGTGAGTTTCAATTACAATAATTCTGTGTACAGTCTACAGTCTCAATGTGTCGCATTCAATGAACATGTCCAAATGTTGTCCAAACATATTTGAGCAGACGCCAAAGTTTGCTGGCATTTTGGAATTTCAAGCCTGACTCATGTGTCATTGTATCATTAAGTTGTATGTAATGTACCCTATTTGGAGGCATTGCTGTACCGGTCAGCCTTATTAATGCATTGGTCAAAATCAACACCAAATCATCATGTCACAATACCATTGGGTTCACTGTCATATCACCCGAGTGTCAAGCAGTGTGCGCGCGAGACGAACGTTTGGACATGATCCTCCGCACAGCATACAGTACGACAGTGCGAGAGTGCGAGTACTGAATGAAATGTTCTAATGAAGTAGTTGAATAAGACACAGCTGGTTTTGTCTAATTGTAAACTGCAGTAACAATAACACTCGCTAGTGGTACGTGGGATGAGTAATGAATTAATACAATTAGTGTAAGTAGTCGTACAACCGAGTCACTCATCATAACAGTTATGTAAATAAAAAGAAACGTATTAATATGGAGCAGCTTGAATTTTTATAGATGTACATTTTATAACACCGCTATACACGATCTCTTAAAATAAGGACAATGGCCGGTATTGTGAGAGGAGATTAACTTTGTATCAGGTTCTAATCTTTGCCTTCGCTGTTTTACAGCCAATAAATAATAAAAATATGACATGTCTCCACACACAATGCCGTCGCTTGCTAAATAACATGTTCGAGTGTGTGCTACGTGTCCTTGGCTGAACAAGCCGCGCAGTACTAATGGTTTGGAAAACGTTTGCAGTTAAAGAAACAGCAGCAGCTGCAACAAGAGATCCTGCTGCAGCACTTCCAGCAGCAGCGGCAGCAGCTCGCGCAGGAACATGAACAACAGCTGATGCACCATTTGAAGGTAAATATGCTGCAGGTAAATACGAATCGAACACTTTATTTATTACATCCTAGTGTATAAGTTTATTTCTATTTTGAGTGTCTTTTGAGAACAGTACTTTAATGTTAAGTGATAATAAAATAAACACGTTTTAAAATACGCAGTTTGAAACTATGAAAGATCATGTTTATAAATAGTGATCATCAAGCAAGAGTGCTACATGCTCACCTTAGCGCGGAGTGTATCTGAACCTGTCGCGCCGGTGTCACGTGACGGACCGGTCGCCGACTCGCCGGGCCGTCCCTCGTGAGCCACCAACTAATTACTTTATTTTGATCAAATCTCTTGTTTGGCTGTGATTGATGTTGTACCACTACGGGTACAACTCATACAATCTTGTACAATTTCACAGGATAGTAAGAATATCTTTGGTTTCAACAATCTGAATCAAACTCTATTTTTGTTAGATTGTTATGTACGATGTACGAGCATTTCCCATCCCGCTGAACCAGCATTCTATAATAGGAACATCGCGTTAGTATCGTCTTTTATGTTCATAATGAGCTCAATAAAGAACCGATCGCTTCTATACACATAAGTATCGTTTGGCAAATGTACTAATACTGAAATAGCAGCAATCCTCAAGATTCCACATAAATCTATACAACAAATAGCGAAGCATCAGCGGCTGGAATGTAGCTCGAGCTGGCTCACGACAACACGCCGGTATTTATAGCCATGAATGGGCTGTACAACTGCTAGTAATTACATCATTCATACTTTGTGTTACCTCCGACACAGCTCTGCCGCTCCCCTCACGATATGGTGACAAACGTCTCGTTAAATTCCTCATTACTGACCTTTTGTCATTAACTCATTGCTGGGATTGTGTGGGCGACGTGTAGCATACTGCTCCCAGCTAATTCTTCCACTTTGTGGGTTGTGAAATACCATTTTTGTAACACCATGTCACCACTACTACTTTATGTATGCTATGACTAGCTAAAAACGCTGTAATTATCCGAGCTAGACTGCGTGAGGTCACCCGAAGGTACTTAACTTTATCCACAATATGGTATTCACCCGAAATAGCTGTCAGTTACTAAATAATTAACAACATCTATAAATAAACACCCATCAAACACAAAGTGGATTTTTCCACAAATTGAAGATAATATTTTGTGAATCGACAGTTTCATAATAAATCTTTGTTACGTATAGTGTGATAAGCTATCTCCGACATTGTGAAAGTTTTCATAGGTTTTGGAAGAGGCGTGGAGCCATTACTCACTCTCGATTAATTAATATTTGCATATTAATTCACGGAATATAAATAGAATGCAGAGAACCATGTAAAAATAAAAATAAGTTTCGTTTATTTGAACTTGAACCAAATTAGAAACGTGTAGAAAGTTGTTTTGTTTACTGAACATGGAACTTACTTGAAGGGCAGTAAGTTGTACAATAAACTGCTGAAAATACTTGCCAGTGTAAATAATGATGTTGACATTGGCAAGCTATGTAAACAATGTTATTTGGAGCGCAGTGTCGCGGCGTGCGCGCGCGCACGTTGATCTGATGATGTTCCATTTGGAGTGGGAATGGCATCCGTGACGCATGCTTACTCACTACCAAATGATTCGCTGAATGTTTGTGCTAGTATCATTAACTAGTTTGACAGAACAAGGTTCTGTGAATCATTGCGAAAGTATTATCAAGCAGTTGTGAATAAACTCGAGAGTAAAACATTCTCGAAATTATTTTTGTTTATGTACTCATTGCATGCCAATATGAACTCGTTTGTTCGTCATCAATATATAAAACCCCCATTCTCTATTATGCGCACTGAACTCAATAAACTTTCGATCACTCTTTACTTATACTTTATTGCACACAGAAAAAAATATAGTAAACATTGCAATAGTAATTTGAGTACAATGGTCTTATCACACGCGGCGATTTCTTCCAGACAATCTTTGGATGGAATTTTTGAAAATAATCTGGGAATGGGTGGTACGTGCACAATAAAAGAAAACCGTAACTCTTTAGTTAGTTGATAGTTGTTATTTTTACAACTGACTGAATCTTATCTCTCACTCCCAAGCCATGTTTACAACGGTGGAATTCACCTGTCAAGTAAAACTAATCTTAGGGTTTAAGTGGTTTTTAGGATTATTGTTAGGTTTTGCATCATTGATATTAAAATAATAATTCGTCAGTGTTACCGTGATTTATAATTATAGGAAAAGACTTGGCAACTTCCATTAATGTGCAAGTTATCGGGATCTGCTGATTAGTACAAGTCCCCGGAGTAACAGCAACTCATGATTATTAGTTTTCGTGTAAATAAGAATTATATTACGTAGAGAAATAATCAAAGTAAATATAAAAATATAGTAAATCGTTCGTAAACGATAGGAACGGTTTAGCAACATGTCGTGTGATTCTGCACTTTTTGGAGGCGTGGAAAATATCGGTGACTTATATAGAAATGGCACATTCATCGTATACCTTTGCAATAAGGAAAATGTATGTGAATCAACTCCAGTTGCGACCGAATTTCGAAATTTACCTATCGGTTAGGGAGAATCTCAGAGCGTGAATTTAGTTACATAGAATACAATTTATTTACCTGAGGATTAATTACTGAGCCAGTATTTATATTATTCGCTATATCATCATGAGTCAATTTATACATCTTACACAACTTATACATTAAATGACTGTTCTCCTAAGAAACTTTATTCAGAACCCCAACACCAAGCAGCAGTATTTTATAAACCTCTTAAAAGTATCGACGAGGGTTTCGCAACCGATTTAAGAAGATTCAAATTGATAAGATATTTTGACTTATCCAAACCGAGTTGTCCCTCGATCCCTTGCGATGCTACCTTCCGTGGGGAGGTAGTAGTAAGCAACAATAACGGCATGACTAACATTCCAGTTGTGGGAACAGCAGAAGGCCATGGAGGAGGCGGCGGCGCGGCGCGAGGCGCGCGAGGCGCTGGAGGCGCGCGAGGCGCGCGAGCGGCACGAGCGGCACGAGCGGGACCGCGCCGACCTACTGCGCAAGAAGGACAAGCACGAGCACAGCGCCAACGCCTCCACCGAGGTCAAGCAGAAGCTGCAGGTACGGCCTCGCTGCACGCCGACATCTACTCCCTGACGGACCTGGACGCTACAGCAATGGTCTCTGACTTGTCTTCTTCTTTTTTCAGCAATTCTTAAAAAAGAAACAAGCTAGTGCAAATGGAACAGTACCTGGTTCATCATATAGAAATTGGTAAGTTCGCTACCGATTGTATTAATTGTTCATGAGTTCTACCCACCGAACCCAGCATTATGACCACGCTGTGTGTCCGTGCAGGGGCATAGTGAAGTCGTCGTCGGGCGAGTCCATCACGTCGACGGGCGCGACGGCCACACACCCGTACCGCCTGGCGGCGCCGCTGCCGCTGGCGCTCAACGCCGCGCCGCCGCAGCCCTCGCCCGACTACCCGCTCCGGAAGACTGGTACGTGCTGCTCATACCGACGTGTGTTCTGTGATGCATCCCTGTCGAGTGTGTGACCCAGTTTGATAATAACAATACAAATACATTAATCGATGTGAATCTCGTAAAGCGCCGGCAGCACCTCGCGACGCAGTGTGTGGTGTAGTAAGTGAGACATAACCCGTAAAGTGAGCATGCGCGTGCACTAACCTTGCAGCGTCGGAGCCCAACATGCTGAAGGTGCGGCTGAAGGCGCGCGTCATCGAGCGCCGCGCCTCGCCGCTCGCGCGCCGCCCCTTCAAGACGCGCGTCAAGCATCGCAGTGAGTGGTTCATGGAATGGTCTACTCTACTAGTTGTGCTTGCATTGTCTCATGTTGGAGCTTACTAAAAACATTTTAATACATACTTTTGATTTCAACTAAAAGATACATTACATGGTTCAGTTTTGTAACCTAAATAAATAAATCATGAAGACATGATCTATAGTGAGACATATTGGACTATCACTTCTTTTTAATAGGATCTATAAGGAGAATAAAAAGATTTGCAAGTTTGCATTATTTGGACACGTTTAAAAATGATTGTGTCCCGTGTAGATTGCGATGGGAGCTCACCACGCGGCTCCCCCCCGGGGGGAGCAGGTGTAGGGGCGGGGGGCGCGGGGGCCACGGCGCCCATCCGGGAGGAGGAGGAGGGCTGCGGGCGCGCGGCGGACCTGTTGTTCTCGTCGCCGTCCATGCCCAACATCAGCCTGGGCCGGCCGCACGTGCCCGCGCCGCGCCTGGCGCCGCCGCCGCCGCTGGCGGTGCTGCCGCCGGTGTCGGAGGCGGAGGGCTGGGCGGCGCTGGGCGGCCGTCTGGCCAAGCGCCCGCTGGGCCGCACGCACTCCGCGCCGCTCCCGCTCGGGGACCCGGCGCTCACGCCGCCCTCCGCGCACCACTACCTGCGCGACCAGATACGAAAGACTGTGAGTAGCGTAAGCCTTTTTGTTTCTTGCAAAAAATCAAGAAGAAAGTGTTTTGGAAAATTTACTGCAGAGTATCAGTTACTTAGATGGAATTGAGACCTTGGCAACCTTCGAGATTTTATTCAGTCACAGTTAGATCCAGATTTACAGTTGTAGAGATTTACAGTAGCAGGGAGGAATAGGGATCCGGACAAGTGTAGCCAGATTTTCTGAAACGAGTAGGGCGGAGGGAGGTCCATAAGTCCAGGACTCGAAGTGACGCGCGTGTTGGCGGCAGGTGCTGACGCGCGCGCACGACGCGGCCGCCGCGCAGCTGCGCGAGGAGGAGGGCGAGGTCATCGACCTGACGGCGCGGCGCGCCCCCGCGGCGGCCGCGCCCCCCGCGCCGCCGTGCGAGCCGAGGCGCCGCTGGCGCGCGCGCTGAGCTCGCCGCTGGTGGGCGCGCGCACGCCGGCCACGGGGCTGGCCTACGACGCGCTCATGCTGAAGCACGGCTGCGCCTGCGGGGCGCACGCGCCCACGCACCCCGAGCACGGCGGCCGGCTGCAGTCCGTCTGGGCGCGCCTGTGCGAGACCGGGCTCGTGGCGCGCGCCGAGCGGACGCGGCCCAGGAAGGCCACCTTCGAGGAACTGCAGGTATGGCTACCATTTCATACAACCTATAACTTTTGAATTAGGTTGATTCACACAAATTAACTGATTGTAGAAAAGTCAGTTTGTGGATAAGTAGAAGGAGAACAACGACGACCAAAGAATGTTGTAGAGAAGTATTTAGAGAGTTTCAAGGGCTTCGATGACGATGGTTGTAACGAGCCTCGCCCCTTGCAGTCGGTGCACTCGGAGGCGCACGTGGGCGTGTTCGGCGGGCGCGGCGCGGGCGGCGCGCTGGGCGGCGTGCGCCAGCTGGTGCGGCTGGCGTGCGGCGGGCTGGGCGTGGACTCGGACACGGCCTGGTCGGACGCGCACACGCCGGCGGCGGCGCGCGCGGCGGCCGGCGCCGTGCTGGACCTGGCCGTGCGCACGGCCAAGGGCGAGCTGCGCAACGGGTTCGCCGTGGTGCGCCCGCCCGGCCACCACGCCGAGCCCAACCAGGCCATGGGCTTCTGCTTCTTCAACTCCGTCGCCATCGCAGCCCGCATCCTGCACACGCGGCACCGCCTGCAGAGGATACTCATCGTCGACTGGGTCAGTATTATTAGTTGCCTTGTGTACGAGTCATATCTTTATTCCATTAAATCAAATTTGATCTTTGCACTAGATAGCACTTAGAGGCGATTAGTTATTCATTTGGGGCCTTATCATAGTAGCGAATTGCAAACGTCTTCTAAACGAAGCGAGCGAGTAAGGAGAACTGGTGCGAACACGCCACAACTGAGGCCTTACTACGAGTTTCGTCGAGTCGGCGCCAATGAACCAACCAATCAGAGCGCCGAAGGCGTACTCGTTACGATTACTTTAAACGTAAAATTGATGCGGATACGTAGCAAATATGTGTGCTTATGTGTAGCAAATCTCTCTGCGCAATCTACCTGTATAATAAGGCCTATATTTTTAAACATCGTTTACAAAACTTACTTCATTAATAAACATCAACAGTTGAGTGGCGTTAACATATTGGGTGTATTTTGCAGGACGTGCACCACGGTAACGGCACGCAACAGATCTTCTACTCCGACCCTCACGTGTTGTACATGAGCATCCACCGGCACGACGACGGCAACTTCTTCCCCGGCACCGGCGCCGCCAGCGAGGCCGGCGCCGGGCCCGGGCTCGGGTACACCGTCAACGTGGCCTGGTGCGGGGGAACTAACCCTCCGCTAGCTGACGCAGAGTACCTCGCCGCCTTCCGCTCCGTCATTATGCCCATTGCCAAGGTAAGCTTTCAATACTGTGTATGCACGAGATAATCAAAGAGTTGACTTGGAACGGAGAGTCGGCGGATCACTCGGCGAAGTAGTGACGAGGTGGCGGTGGTTGCAGGAGTACGACCCCGAGATCGTGCTGGTGTCGTGCGGGTTCGACGCGGCGGCCGGGCACCCCGCGCCGCTGGGCGGGTACAACGTGTCGGCGGCGTGCTTCGCGCACATGACGCGCGAGCTGCAGCAGCTGGCGGGCGGCCGCGTGGTGCTGGCGCTGGAGGGCGGCTACGACCTGCCCGCCATGTGCGACGCGGCCCAGGAGTGCGTGCGCGCGCTGCTGGGCGAGCGCGGCGCGGC